ACCTCCCTCTGACTCCAGCTAAGCCTTCCCCCTGGCGTTCAAATACTAAACACTGGTTTCCAGGTGAGTAGTAATTGCCCTCAGAGTGAGCACAGACTAGCTGGTCCTAGCTTTTCTGTATGTGTCCCTGCTGTTCCTTCAGAGTTTGTCATTTCTTCATTCCTGAGAAGCTCCAGTGAGGACCAGGACCAAGCTGTGTGGGCCAGACAGGATGATTCACTAACTCATCTCCCAACCTTTTTCCCCCCTGAAAACTATGTGTAAATTTGTGTGTCTGTGTGCTTGTGAGAGCAGGTGCCCATGGAGGCTAGAGGCATCGGATCTCCCCTGCCCTCAAGCTGGAGTTATAGGTGGTTCTAAGTCATCTAATGTGGGTGCTAGGAATTGAACTCAGGTCCTGTAACAAGAAAAATCTGCTCTCTTAACCACGGAGCCATTTCTCACTCACAAAAGGGTATGTTCACCAGCTGAGGGTGGAAAGGGGTTTTTCTAGAGTAGGAAAAGTTTCCAATAGTCCCTGAGATAAACCTTAGGAATCCAATGAACAGTGGAACAGAGACTGCCAAGGTCAGAATCAATAGTATGCTACAGAAATGCTATCATGTATATATAAATCCGTAATATCTTAGGGTTTTATTGCTATGAAGAGACACCATGGCCACAGCAACTCTTTTTTTTAAGATTTATTTATTTATTTATTATGTATACACTGTTCTGCCTACACTTACGCCTGCAGGGCACTAGATCTCATTATAGATGGATGTCAGCCACCATGTGGTTGCTGGGAATTGAACTCAGGACCTCTGGAAGAGCAGCCACTGCTCTTAATCTCTGAGCCATCTCTCTAGCCCCCACAGCAACTCTTATACAGGAAACAGAACATGGTGGTGTGCAGGCAGACATGGTGCTGGAGAAGGAGCTGAGAGTTTTATGTCTTGATCTACAGGCAGCAGGAGTCTGGGTACCACTGGCCAGACCTCAGCTTGTAAGAACTAAAAGCCTGCCTTCACAGTGACACACTTCCTCCAACAAACCCACACCTACTCCAACAAGACCACACCTCCTAATAATGCCACTTGCTATGGGCTAAGCATTCAAATACTTAAGTCCATGGGGGCCATATCTTGTTGTGGAATATTTAACTATGTAAAGGAGTGTTATATTTGTTTATGCTTCAGAATATTACTTTAGTTGTGTAAAGATGTGTTGCATTTGTTTCACCTTACCTGCCTAAGGTATCTGATTGGCTTAATAAAAAGTTGAACAGCCAATAGCTAGGCAGGAGTGAGATAGGTGGGGCTGGCAGGCAGAGAGTATAAGTAGGAGGAGAAATCTAGGCTCAAGAGAGAGGAGGAGAAGAAGGGAATGAAGGAGAAAGAGAGGGACACACCCAGATCAGAAGCTAGGCAGCTGCCAGACAGACAGAAGAAGCAGGAAATGTAGGAAAGAAAGAAAAGGAAGGAAGGAAGGAAGGAAGGAAGGAAGGAAGGAAAGAAGGAAGGAAGGAAGGAAGGAAAAAGCCCTGAGGCAAAACACAGATGAAGAGAAACAGGTTAAGTTATAAGAGCTATGGAGAAACTAGCCTAAGCTAAGGCCGAGCATTCATAACTAATAATT